AGGGTGGATGGATGGAGGAGAAGGGAAAGGCAGGAAAAAAAGGAATTACAGTGTGTTATGTACATTTACCACTCTAGAAAGGAATGTGATCATTATGTACCTCAAAGGTATACTGATAAAATGAAAATTCATAGAAAAAGTAAAAGACTAAACTACCAAAAGATAAGATCACCATGTCAAGCAAGGTCTTGGCATCGGGAGTTGTTCTAGCAAATCCCGAAATATGAAGAGGGGCTCAGAAGAATATTTAATTTATGGCCTGTCAATCAGATGTACAGGGGCTGGTTCTTCCAGTTGGCATTGGAAATGGGGCTGTCTTATGTTAGCTGCCGGGCCTGTGTTATCTCTGGTGGTAAGCGTCAGAGTGAACTGTAGGACGCCCTTTTGGTGGCTGGAGAGTTGGAGAATGGGTGGGTGCATGCAACACCTCCTCCTCATGTAGTGTCAGAAGTACTGTGACTAACAATGGAGCCCAGGGACTGTCGTCACTCCAAATGCAGCACTTTGGTGTGTGATTATTTTCACATGAAAGAACTTAGAAAGAAGCAAAAGCTGGGAACAGCTTCCCTTTGACAGATCCAATTCTGCTTAAAATATGGACCTCAGGCAGGAAGCAGTCACCTCCTGGCTGTTCCCTGAGCTTTCACTCGCTAAACCCACATCTCCAGAAGAGACACTGAAGCCCATTAACGCATATGCAGATTTTTGTCGGCAGCATTCACCTCTTTCTGTCTCAGGAAGAATCATTTACAAACCATTGTCCAGTATGGCTTCCCTACAGATTTTGTCCCAGGACATTGTGTTCCCAACTCATTGATGTCCCCTTAAAATGATATATTATCCCCACCCCCACGTTCCCCATTCCCCTCTCCCGTGGAGATGAGGTGTGTAAGCTTCTGAATAATTTTGGGCTCTTATGTAATCACAAATTGATTTCCTTCTCTGCTGTGGTTTCTCTTTCAATAGCTTCCTATGCCTTTTCTTGAGATGGAGGAGGGACTAACTATCTCCTAGCTCCTGTAGTAATAATGGCTCACAAACCTAGGTTAAGATAGCTACTTAGGGGGCTGGGGATTTAGCTCAGCGGCAAAGCGCCTGTCTGGCAAGCGCAAGGTCGTGAGTTCGGTTCCCGGTACCAGAGAAAAACCAAAAAAAAAAAAAAAAGATAGCTACTTAAAGTCAAACAAAGAATACTGAGGACCTGATAAAATGTTTAAAAAAGAGTCTTAACTCAAAAAAAAAGATTATGAAAAATCAGATGATGAAATATTCTTAAATGGAAGAACAGATTATAAAGTGGCTGTGGCTGATAGAAGTTTTATGCTCAGGTGGGCAGAGGGGGCATAATTGCAGCAGGCATGATACGGGGAAGCGACTTGAAGGTCCAGCCTGAAAACGTGCTGCAGCCTGGGCCACAGCACCCAGGAAGTAGAGCTTATTTTGAGCAAGTCATACCAGACTCTATTTGGAGGCATAGCTGAGGCAAGATGTTGTTACAGAGGTGAAACAGAGCCTGTAAGAGGGACCCTTCTCCTTCACATTCATAGGTCACTGGTTTTCATCAAGGACGCTGAGCCAATTCAGTGGAACAAGAATAGTCATTTCAGCCACTGGCACTGGGACAATTAGAGAGCTGCGTGTGAAAGGATGAAACTGGACCCTCCCTTTCTTACATCATGTAAAAAAATTAAGACAAAATCGGGCATCGGTTTCTTTCTTCTTTCTTTCTTTTTCTTTCTTTCTTTCTTTCTTTCTTTCTTTCTTTCTTTCTTTCTTTCTTTCTTTCTTTCTTTCTTTTTCTTTCCTGTTATACTGATGATCAAATCCACGACTTGCACTTACTCTGCATGTTTCAATTTTTATTGTGAGACAGGGTCTCACTAAATTACCCTGGACAGCCTTAAACCTGTAAACCCCCTGCCTGCCTCAGGCTCCTAAGTAGCTGGTAGTAGAGGTCTCCACTAGCTTGCCGTCCCCTATTTCAATTTTCTACATGGCGGAGACTCAGTTGCCCCCAAATGCAATAGCATCATACTCTCTCCTGCATATCAAACATTCCCCGGGAAGATTCTAAAGCATCAAATAGGCATGGCTCAACTTCAAGTACAGCCCATCCCTCAACTGCTGTAGGTACTCTTCAGGTCATTGGATATGAATCTAGTTTTCTCTAGTTCTACAGACAAAATTGAAGTAGGTATGCACTGATGCAAATTGGAAAAAAAAAATCCAAATGACACTCAGCATTTCACGGTATAATCTGATTCATCATTTGGATACTAAAGTGCCTACATTTCTTTAATTTTTAAAGTGCTGCTTGGTCCCTCCTCCAACTCCACATACTCTCTTACTCTGTTACTCTCAAGTCTCTTATCCTTTTGGGTCTTCATCTGTCTTTGGGCTGTCTAAACCCTGGGGGTCCAAAGCTAACTGGGGGCAGATGTTCTTTCCTGAGCTAAGCAGAAAGCCCATCTCCCTGCTTGCTGTGACTGATTCCACATTAGAAAAACCTGAAGCCTGGGATCCCTGTGTGTCACAGACTGAGCCTGCTCACAAGGGTGGGTGTAAGGGTGGCTGGGGGAGCAGAGATGATGACGTGTGAGGAGGTTTGGTGCCCAGTTATGGTTCCTTTCTAAGTACACTGCCAGAGGTTCTGTCTTAATGTCTCCTTCTACATCCAGACTGTGAACTTTGATCTGGCAGAATGTTGGTCACTTCATTTCTGTCCTACTTTCTCTCAAGTGCCCCTCACTAGGTGCACCTAGCTGCTAACACATGCTGAAATTCTAGAGAAATATCAATTTTAAGAAGGAGTTGTGTTTTGGTTACTTTTTTCTCGCTGCTGGGACAAAATACCTGAAGCCCAAAATTAAGGAAGGAAAGGTTTATTTCGCTTACAGTTCGTGGAAGTTTCAGCCCGTACTTGGCAAATTATAAGGCAGAGTGGCACATGGCAACAGCTCAGGCGGCAGAACACAGCTAAGCAACAACCACACACCAGGGCGGAATGGGGGAGGAATCCCTCAAGCACTCTTTTCCTCTCCCTTACATATGCAAACTATCCACCCCAGGGTGGGTGTTGCTCTCACACCCACAATCATTCAACTCTAATAGCCTGCCCCATGACCGCATGAGGCTTTGGAGGGGACACACAGACATAAACCATAACAAGTTGATATTAAAATGTACAATGTAAGGTAACTAAAAAATTAAGGTAACTCAAATGTCTACCAATATGCATTAAAAAGACAAACTTAGACACATGTAAAGAAACCCTATGAACTCTTTAACGCCAGGCTGGTGCTGATTAAGCATGAGAGGAGATTTCCATAGCATAACATTCAGTAAGAAGGTAGTTACAGGAGAGCTGTGGAAGGAATACCTTGTGTACTGGCTCTGTGTGGGAGCATTTTGTCCCAGGCTGTACATAAGTTAGGGTGAAAAGGATGCAATCTGACCCTCCCTCCCTGCCACAGCCAACCATAGGTCAGAGATGGAGATTCTTTTAAGAGACAGATTATGTTCCAGCAATTATCTAAGGGTTAATCATACTGGTGTTAATTACATGATTTCAAGGCTTTAACTTTAATGTTGTTTGTTGATAATAGCTACTGCAGCAATGAACATTTTCCTAATTATAGCTTTTAACCCCTGGTTAATTAATTCCTTGGGCTATAGTCTCAGGGGAATGACAGCTGAATGAAAGGTATCCAATCAGATTTTTTGTTGCTCTAGCTTGGCATTTGATGAGTTCTTCTCATTTTTGTTTTTAAAAATTCAAGCCATATTTCTAGTTTAGAAATTGAAAACTATATCGATGAACCACGTTTTCATTGAGAAAACTTTTTCGATTGGGTAGATGAAGGAACACTTGAGAAATTATTATTTTGGTGCTGGGGACTGAACCTAGGGCTTAGAGCATGTGCACCCCGTACCACGTGCTCAGCTACATCCCCAGCACCTGCCCAGTTTCCTGTCAAATCTTAAGCGATAACCTTCAGTTACTTGTCCTTTGGCGCCCCCTTTGGGAAATTCACGCATTGACCCACGAGGCCCCTCCCAGCGGCTGAAGGTTGCCAGATGGGGACAGGTAGAAGGGGCTACTTAGAAAAATCCTGCGCTGGAGAGAGCTGGTGGAAGGGAGTTCAACTGTTACTAGAGACTGCAGGGGGCATCTGTGTCTGCACACCCCCCCAGAAGACCAACCGACCGGTCTGGTGCCCTTCAGAGAAGTCATTTCCTCATTGCACTGGGTATTTCCTGAAGAACTAAGCTGATTGCCCCTTCTCTTTCATTTTCCACCTCACCTATCTTATTAAAAACCCGCCCCTCCCTTCTTTGGGTGCATAGGGTGAGGTTGCTGCTCTAGCCTGGTGCACAAGGCCCTTTGGTTTTGTTTCCATGGGGCCTCTGGACCCCTGAGTCCTCTAACTGTTCTTGGTGCTCCCTGTGGACACCACCCCTTGTTCTTTCAGCCATGTTCTTTCAGCCCTCCAGGCCCCCAGGTCTTTGCCCATGTGGTTTTCTCTGCCGGGAGCACCTGGTCCTCTGTTCCTCACTGCAGCCCAGAACTGCTCAAGTCCTGACTCAACAATCACCACCCCTCAGAAGTCTTCCTCAACTCCCCAGGCAGAAGGTGTCCTTGCTGGGTGCAAAGATTACCACTCAGCCAGTGTGCATAGCGAGCCTTTTCAAGGATATAAAAATTTCCATGTTGAACAACATAAACACTCTGCCCAGTAGGGGACCTGACATACTGCAGGTAATCAAGAAATAGTTGCTGAATGAATACATGAACGCATTCATGACTGGAGAATTTGGAGGTTCACTATCTGGGATGGGGGACATGAGAGAAAGATGTTTCTAAGTGTGTACTTGACCCCACCCAAGCCCTAAAGCTGGCAGGATGAGCTAGCTCTGGGGCAAGGATGGATAATGAGCCCTTTTGTGCTTCTCAGATGCTTCATCGCTGAAACCAGCTGTATTCATCTTAGTGACGAGTTTCGTGATATCATCAGGAAGGCAGTCAAGGCTCCAGTGGGGCTTCGGAGGAGCCTGTGGAGGGAGTCATAGCCTGGCTGTCATCACTGGAGGCACCAGGGATAGGTAGGACACAGCTGCCTCCGGCCTGAGTTTGGGAATCTCCACAATCAAGTGCAGGCTGGACTGTGGATTCTGAGCAGCCTTGCTGGACAGCGGCAGGTCAGTTCCCCTTCACCAGCGTCCCAGGGTGCTAGGTGGGCTGGGTTGGGTGTGTACATATTCTAGAGAGCAGACATGGGCAGCTTACCTGTAGTGGAGAACATGAGCAGCATGAATAGAGGGTCTCAGCATCACAACTGTGGCCCCGGAGGGGGTTAGGATCTTAACTGAAAATCAGGACTTGGAACTTTTTCCTAAAGACATGGGTTTTAGTCCAACTCTAGGTAGATCAGTTGCGTGATCTTGGGAAATTCCTTAAGTCAAGGGATTTCATTCCCCCTCAGAAAACAGGGGTACTGGTGCCTCCCTTTTAAGGCCATGCTGAGGGGTAGAACGTGCTTCTCCGGGGGTGGGGTGAGGTGGAAGCAGAAGCTGTTGTGATTCTGACCTGCACATGGTCTGGGGAAAGCTACACTCTGAAAAGAGAGCTCTTACCTCCACCTCTGTAGGAAGAGAGGAGCTAGAGGAGCGGGGAGGCCCTGGCACCAGAACACAAGATGGGTGCTGCACAGAGGCTGCGGGAGGCTGCAGGGTGCTAAGCCTTCTCCTGGTGCCTCAGCCCCTAAAGGCGCCCCCCAGTGAGGTAATGGTGCATGATGATGTGCTGTCTGCACGGCGAAGTTAGAAGGAAAATGGCACCATACGTGCAGGCCCGAGTTTCCTTGGTAATATGATTATTTTAATGTCCCAGCAGTTTATTGTTGAGAACGATTCTGGCTTTTCAAGGATATAAAAATTTCCATGTTAAACAACATAAACACTCTGTTGAGTGTTTAGAGAGGAGTGAGTTTCTCCTTACGCTCGACTACAGCTAAGGCCTGAACTCAGGGTGAGGGGAAGAGAGGACACAACTCCTGGGTCCAGAAGGTCCTCAGTCCCTGGGAAGGGACACGGCTGTGTCCTGAGATTCTACAGGACAGCTTCTTGCAGAGCAATGACTTTGAGTCCCCTCTGCAAGGGGACAGATGGCCCGGGTGATGGCACCTGAGACAAAATGGGCCGAAGGTTCTGGGAGAAACATCCACCCTGCTGTGGACTGGCTTAGAGGAGGTGTTGCTGTCTCTTCTCAGATACTCTGCTGTCCCCACTGCTCCACGCCCGCACCCCCAGCTCTGCCCCCTGGGCCGAGCTGCCATGCCTGACACGCCAGTGGAGGAGTCCCTCTTCAATATCATCCACTGCTACCACCAGTATGCAGCCCGTGGAGGGGATGTGGAGACCTTGTCTCTGGAGGAGCTGGGAGCCCTGCTGATGGACAACGTGCCCCACTTCATGGAGACCTTGGTACTCAGGGTCTGCGGTCACAGTGAGGGTGAACAGGGGACCGGGGACCTGTACAGGATGGTGATGGGGAGGGAAGTGAGTGTTGGGTGAGTTGGGTGTTAATACAGGGGACTGATTGCTATGTGAATCTCCGACCTGCGGGAGGGAGGAGTACAGGGTCTGCCCAGCTTGACGTCTTCCCCTTGCCTCCCCTGAAGCTTTTTGTTCCACTCCAGCCCCACCACAGCTCATCCCTAAAACTCTGCCTCGCCATCCGCTTGTTTATTCCTCTGCCCTTCCTGCCTGCTGGGCACAGGTTCTGCCCCTCCCCTCTGCTCAGAGTTCATTCAGTCTATGACTCTGCCTCAAACCCTAGGCACCTTTCCGAGGCCTCTGAGATCCAGCTCTTTCCTCTGCCCCTCTGGCACAGGCCCTGGGGAGTGTAGTGAGGCTATGGGGGCTGCTATAGGCCAGACAGAGGTAACCTCCCCTCCTACCACCGGCTCCCAGGACTGTTCCTCAGACCTGGTGGCAACCTGTTCACCACTTCAAGGCTGACAGCTTCTCAACGATCAGCACAGTCCACAGCAGGCTCCTTGGGGATGGCGAGCTCACACGAGTGTCTGTGGGTGCTGCCTTCTGCCCTCTGTCCACCGCCCAGTGGTCTTTGACTGTCATCTTCAAAGGACATCAGGTCCAGCCACTGACTCAAGTCTAATCTATTCCAGAAAGGCATTTTGGGGGCATTTCTTGTCTCTGCCAGTTGGTTTTGAGGAAAAGCGGAGGGTCAGCGCTGCCTGTGTTTATGTGGGTCCTTCTGAAGGCTCAGAGGGGCAGCCAGGGCTGGAGATTACTGCGGTTAGTCCTGGTCCCAGGAAACTTTCCCTTCCAGAGGAAGTTCATGGGCTGGGCCCCTACTGCCCCAGCCCTGTACCTGTGGAGCTCAGTCCCACTCAGGTCAGGGCCCTTAGGGACAGACACCTGCACACAGGTAGGAAGCCTTGTGAAGTTGGCTCAAAGTGAGGGAAGCTGGCCAGAGCCTGCTCAAGACAAAATGCCTCCCGCTCTTCTCTGGTCAGTTAGCTTTGTGGAGGCAACTGGATTATAGGAGTTGCACATGGATATGCAGCGAGGGGAGAAGCTGAGAATCGCCTGCAGGGATGAGGAGCTGCCCTCCTGCTGCCCAGATACTTCCAGATGCAGCAACTCCTTCTCTGAAGCGCTTCTCATGGGGCTGAGCATGGCCGTGCCCACCAGCCAAATCCTGCTGCACCTCAGCTCCCTGCCACTGCGCAGGGCCCTCCCCTACTCACCTGGTCTTCACCTGCTTTACCTCCTGGGTGGGTTGAACCCTGACTTTCTCCATGCTGTGCTATAGCTATGCTATCCTTCTACCGCAGATTCCTCTTTCCCCTCCTCTACCATCCCCAGCCTCAGCCTCAGGGCCAGATCAGGGCCAGGACATCCTGGGCAGCTCCAGAGCTCTGGGTTTTGTCCTTTCTCTCATTGTACATTCCTTGTGGGTAGAGGGTCATTAACAATGCCTGGGTGGATGCCACAGCACACAGACATCTGACTACGACTGTGCTGGCTGGGAATGCAGATACGAGCCTGCCCTTGGGGAGCTCCCCATGTTGGGATGGGGGTAGCTCCCTGCCTTTAGGAGCCTGGCGTGGGGTCCCTCTAGGCTGTACAGTCAAGCAGTGAGGCTTCCATGGCCACTGACCATGGCCAGGAGGTGTTTGTGAGGAGGCCAGGATTCTCACCACTGCTCAGGATCTGTGCGGTTAGCCCAGGATCTGTGCTATGTACAAGGGCTGTCTCTGCCCTTATGTTACTCTGTTCCACTGACCTGAGACACCCACCACATCCAGGCCTCTTCAGGCCGGTGTTGCAGCATGTATTTATTGGTAATTTGAGTGAAGAGTTGTTTCCCGGTGCTGCTGTTACATTCCCATCCCAGCAGCGGGTGAAGGCCTGGTGGGTGGGCTGCATGCCTGAGTGGGTGGGTGACTGTGTGCCTCTCCTCAGGGCCGGAAGGAGCCCTACTACATTGCACAGTTGTTCCGGGCAGCAGACAAGAACAAGGACAACCAGATCTGCTTCGACGAGTTCCTCTACATCCTGGGCAAGCTGGTGAAGGACTATCACTTGCAGTACCACCGGCAGTTGTGTGCCCATTACTCTGCCCAGCACAACCTCTACTAGAGGGAAGGCAGATGGAGCCTGTCCCCAGGAGAGGTGTGACCTGGCCATGGGCAGCAAACAGGAGGACTCTGCTGTGTGTGTGTGTGTGTGTGTGTGTGTACCTGTACAGACCCTGTCACATGTGTTTCTGGGTATTAGTTCAAGAGAAGTGGTCTCTACCCTGGAGAACACCCATTTCCAGGGGGACTCAGCGTTGGCTTCTGGCTTTCACTGTGAAGAGGAGGCTCTTGTCCCAGGCAGGTGACCCTCTGATAAGGAAGCCAGGCCTCACCAGTGCTGTCACTGTTCATTCATCACCTGTATGCACAGGATAGGAGCAGAGGCTCACAAGCAGGGCTGCACTGGGCCTGGACCCCATTTTTGAAGGTGTTCTGCTCTGAAGCAAGCTTCAGTGAACTGGCACCAAGAGGGACTGGCCTGGGCCTGGGAAGTGCAAGAAAGCGGGGAGGGTGCATTTCCAAATGAGGAAACAGTGGGACCAGTGTGCTATGCCCAGGCACAATAAAAAGTTTGCTTGGAAATTAACGTCCCAGGAGAATATTTGAACTCAGTGTGAATGGGTGGGTCAGGGCCAGACTAAGGAAGTCCTCAAAAGTTGAGCAGTGGGCTTTAGATAGTGGGATCCTGAGCACTTGTGTAAGGAAGGGGCAGGGCGGTGTGATCAGCTCTGTGCTTCCAGAAACCAGCTGGGGGCCACAGCAACAGACCTGACAGGGAGAGACTGGGCCCTTTCAGTGGCTCCTGTGCAGCCCGGGCACAGGACAGTGAGGACCAGCTCAGTAGCTGCAGGCAGCAACAGAAGGGAGGCAGTCCACATTAGGGAAGTGAGAACGTCAAAGTCTCAGATCTCAGCTTTAGACTGAGCGAGAACAGGGATACAGATGCGATCGAAGTTTCAGGTGTTGATAACTGACGGAAAGGTGATGTGGGTCATGAGTATCACGGTTGTCTGGGCTGGGAGCCACCATGCTCAGGAAGACCGAAGGTCAGGTTTTGTGGCTGCTGAGTTGGAGAAGGAAACAAGACCGGAGGCAACAACCCAGGCGGGCGGAACTGTTGACATCTGTCATGGGATTAGTAATGAGGGAAACCTGGGAGATTGTGAACAAGGAAGGCTTCCTGAAGGAGGGAACCGGTGGGTCTGGTTATTACTAATAAAACACGATGATGAATGTGGGCCTTGCCCCTGACTCTGAACTGTTCATGACTCGATGATCTAAATCCTGTTGCCCCTGGCCTCTCTCACCCGAAAACTGCCGCTGCCTGATCTGTGTCATTGTCCTGTCTCTAGGAGCCCTGGAATCTGACACAGAATCCTTAGGGGGTGGCTCTGCCTCCAGGAGCCCATCTCTGTGGCTGTTTTTCCTGAGGATGGGTCTGGGAACTCATGCTCTGAACCAAACTTCTTTTTTCTTTTATTTTGGGGGCTGGGGTGGAACTGGGATTGAACTCAGGACCCTGTGCTTGTCCGGCAGGCACTGCACCACTGAGCTACATCCCTGGCCCCTGAGCTTATTTCCAAACAATGGGTTTTAGAAGAATGACAGATGACCACTGCACTGTTCACCTCTGGGAAGATTTTCTTTGTAGTAGTGGAGACTGAACCTAGGGTCTTCCAACTGAGCTACATCCCCAGCTCCTTTTATTTTATTTTTTAAAATTTTGACACAGTGTCTCATTAAGTAACTAAGTTACACAGGCTGGGCTTGAACTTTCTGTCCACCTGTCTCAGCCTCCCAGAGAGCTAAGATTACAGGCATACACCACCAGGCCAAGGTACTGAGGATATTTTGTATCTGTTTCCCGCTGGTCCCACTCATACAGAGGGGTATATTCTACTGCGCTGCAATTATGCTTCAGTCCGGGCCCACACCTAGCTGGGCGTGGGCACCTAACCCATAACCCACACAACAGGAGTTCCAGTAAGGAAGGCAGGAAGGCGGCCCATGGACGGGAATGGCGGAGATTGAATCTGTGCTCCCTCCCAAGGGGGCCCTCAGTCATGGAGATAGGGGCCTGAGTATTCAGGTCCCTGTTCCTCAGGCCTCAGGGAGCGTCCTCCCTGCCTGTCTCAGCTGAGGAGCCTTGGGTTCCACAGAGCTACACCAGGGCATCCTGTCTGAGTCTTCTGCTTCTCCCCGCAGCCTCTTGCTGGGGATTTCTCCACCAGATCCGTCTGATCTGTTGTAATTTCCTTGGCCTCGGACTGGGCTGTTGAGACACAGGGGGGATTGGGCCCTTTCCTGTCAATGTGGCCAGCTCCACTCCCCCTGGGTTGCCCCACATTGTTCAGGCAGATTCTGCCATTTCCTTGATGTATGTACTCAATTCTTACCACTCACATCTTCCAGCTCAGCTTAACCTAACTCAGAGTTCCATAGGAAGCATATTAGGGCAGGCTGGTGACAGGTCACAGTCTCACTTGTCAGCCTGCATATGGTGCTGGCTGGAGGCCATCCCTCATGACTGCCTTTAGTATCCCAGTGAACCCAGGGAAAGACTGAGTAATGCCCAGTGCCTCAGTTTCTTCTTCTGTCAAATAGGAGTAATTGTACCTGCAATCCCTATTTTATAAGGTTGCTGGGAGTGTCAAATAAATCAGAGGCTGTAAACACACTTTGAAAACATGATGCGTTGCTTTAGGGTAAGGTGGTGTCTAGCAAGTCAGACAATACAGTGCCTGATAACAGTTATGTACTGTGGGCTGATTATTGGTTGAAAACTAGTCATGTTTTATGGCAGAAGGGGCTTGTTTTCCCGTCTAGGGGTCAGTTCATCTCTTGTCAAGGAAGTTAGCTTGCATTTAATTGATGGATTTATAGTCTACCTTCTCGTAAAACTGATTTAAGGTGGCTGAGTGTGATACAGGGCATTTCTGCGTTAGGAAAGGGCAAGAGCAAAAGTTCAGTTTTGCTTTATTTATTCCCTCAAAGGTCCTAGGGATGGGGATCATAATACAGCAGAGCTGATGTTGTTATAGATGAGGAGAGGAGAATTAACCTGCGCAGATGGGGTGAAGGAAAGAGAATTTAAAGATAGGCTTGGGGCAGATGATGCCTGAGTTGGGTCAGGAGGAGGTTACCAGGAGGAAGAGGCAGAGACAGGAAGTGAATACTACCACATCACATGGTAAGTCACTTAAATCTGAGTGAGATGGAGGCTTGTTTCTCTCCAGGGGCCTCTGTTTCCTCATCTGTACAATGGGAATTGAACAGTACCTACTTTATAGGATTATTGTGAGAGTTAATTGAACTGATGCAAGTAAAGCACTTAGGACAATTCCTGACACATGGGACATGCCCAGTGAGTGTTTGCTGTTATTCTGCTGTTACCTGGACTTATTATGGATTGTGTTTACAGTTCTGTGCATGCTGGACACTGTACTGTGTCCAGGGGTGGCAGAGAAGTGCAACCAGCCCTACAGAGTGTACAGTTGAGCTAGAGAATCAGGCATAGATACAGAGCAGTTATTATGGCTCCTTTGGCACCACACTTTCTACAAAAGTGTATAAAATTTCATTAAAATATCACACCACTTAGAAAAGTGCACCAGCCTTAAATATTTTACATCAATTATCAATCTTCACAAGTTAGACATTGTAAGGTTAGAGGCAGTTAAAAATTTTAATATTGTAATTGTGCCAGAGTACACATAACATCAGATTTATTGTCTTCAGCATTATAAGTGGATATTTCAGTGTTAACAGTCACACAGTTGTGCAGTTGACCTCCAGAACTCTTTTCATCTTACAAAACTGAAACTCTACACACTGGTCCTGTAGCCAGGTAGTAGAGAAAGCATTTGCTCAGAGTGCCCTAGGTTCAATCTGCAGTACCAGAACAAGCAAACAAACAAACACATCATAGAAACTCTATACTCATTAAAGAATAACTACCCATTTCACGGCTCTCAGCCCCCAGCAATGACTATTCTACTTTCTATTTCCATGAACCTGACTATTCTAGTGTATCAGTCAGGGTTTTACTAGTGAAACAGATATAACACGATAACACAAATGTATAAGTTACAAGATTGGCTTACGATGGTCAGCCAGAGTTGGATGAGGAAGCGTGTAGAGGGTGTCTGCACACTGGAGACCGAAGAGTTCAGTCCAAAGTCTGGAACTCACTGCAGTGTTCTGTGCAAGTCTGTACCAGGAGGCCAATGGGCCTGCACGGAAGGCTGATGGGTCTACACTAGAAGGCTGAAAGATCCTAGGTGGAAGCCGAACAGTCTGCACTGGAAGCCAAGAGATGATGTCAAAGCTGAAAGGGAAGACTAGAGCACCTCCAAAGAATGGGAGCCCCTCTGTCCTTCTTCATATCCTTTTTATATCATCTAGGTGATGAGCCGCCCTAGGTTGGGTCCTCTACCCTAGTGTGTGAAATTGCTGAGCCGAGTTAGTTAAACTTTGAAACTTCTCAAGTTGATACAATCAACTTGATTAACCAACTTGATTAACCAGTGAACCATCTGGGCCCCTCACATTAAGTGGAATCATATAGTATTTGTCTTTTTGTGACTTTTATTTTGCTTAGAATAAGGTTCTCAAGGTTCATCAATTTATAGCATATGTCAGAACTTCCTTTTTTAAAAAAGCTGAACAATATTCCATTGTGTGCATATATCATTTTTATTTATCCATTCATCCGTTGACAGACACTTGGATTGCTGCCGCCTTTTGGCTATCGTGAGTAGTGGGCATAGGTGTACAAATGTCTTGAGATCCTGCTTTCACACTGTTTTTCACAGCAGTCACACCATTTTTTCATTCCCATCAATGATTTCCAAGGCCTATTTTCTCTACATCTTTATCAAAACTTGTTATTCTCTGTGTTTTTAGATAGTTGCCCATCTTAACAGATGTATCTCATTACGGTTTTTTTTTTTTTTTGGTTTTTCTCCGGTACCAGGAACCGAACTCACGGCCTTGCGCTTGCCAGGCAGGCGCTTTTGCCGCTGAGCTAAATCCCCAGCCCTCTCATTACGTTTTGATTTGAATTTTCCTAATGATTAGTGATGTTGAGAATCTTTTCATATGCTTACTAGCCGTTTTTATATTTCTTTGCAAGAAATGTCTAATTCTTTGGCCATTTTTGTTGGGTTGATTTGTTGATGTTGTTGTTGTTGAGTTCTCAGAGTTCTTTTATATTCCAGATATCAACCCCTTATCTTCTTACATGATTTACAAATATTTTTCCCATTCCATGTATTAAAGGTATAATTTATTTTTAATCTCCTCTTAATATTTGACCTAACTAAGGCAAAGATAGGGTAAATCATTGACCCAAGCTCACACAGTTATAAGGTAAGTGGTGTAACAACGCTCAAAGTGTCACATAACCCTGGAGGAGTGAGGCTAATCCATACACTTCCGTAAGAAGACATTGATGGCCTAGCTGCGGGCTAAGCACACGTCAATGTTTATTGTTTGCATGAAGGAAGGAAACAGCAAAGTCACAGTTTTACCAGCTAAGTCATATTCTTGTCAGATCACGTTCTGGAGCCAGACCTTTGGGGATTTGTTCCAGACCTGACACACCAGCAGGGGAAAACTCTGAGTGACTCACTTTGCATTCTTGGGTCTCAGCTTCTTTTTCTGTGGACGGGGCAGGTTCCATGCCTTATTTTTCTAATAGGCATATTCTCAGGCTCTTATGAGATCGTACGGATGTAAAGTACATATCTATAGGAGAAATACTCCACCAAGCCACAGTTTTGAAAGCCAGTTAAGCTGAGTGGTGTTTTGTTAGCAGTGGGAAGAGGTTGCTCCTCCTGAAATCCTGGGGAACTGGCCACCTCCTCTTCCCCTCTTGTGCATGAAGCACACCTGCCTCCTCTAAAGAACTGGGCCCTTAATATTCCAGATTTGGATTCCTCTCTTCAGCCCACACTGCTGGGGTCCAAGTTACAGTGATCACCCTAGAGAGGGTTGAAGAGTCCCTGCTGTGTCCTTGCGGTGGCTTATGTCCTTATGCAGTGCACAAGGACCTCAAGCTCTCCCTTGTCTCTCAGGGCAGAGGGCCTCCTTTGCTTTGAGAGCACAATTGTTATGAGCCATCGTGGGACATAGAGTAGGAACCGACCCAGCCCTTGGTAATACAGAGTCCAAGCACCCAGCCAAAATACAACACCCCAGCAATACCGATGTTCTTAATATTTCTGAGGCCTTTGACTCTTTTAAGAATTTGATGAGAGCCATGGAAAAATGTTTTTGTGCACACACTCAAAAGGATGGATTCCGTTTAAATTCAATTTAAATAATATGTCTACTGGCCATAAAACAGAGATTAGCATGAGATTCTGGGTGAAGAAAAGAAGAAAAAGAAGGTGAGAAAGGAGGACTTGCCGTGGTCTCCTGGTTTTGTCAAGGTCTTTCCACTTCCCATATCCCCCACCTCTCTGAAATGTTTACTCTGTGTAGTGATTGCCACATCTACTTGGTTGGGAAACAGCGGGTATAGCAACTCTGCAAGACCTGAGGCCACAGGCCAGCCCAACCTACTCACTATAAAAAGGAGCTGACACTCAGCCCTGTATATTCCTTGTCAATTCTGTTTCGGGCAGAGCTGGTAAGTGGGACTATCTGGACCTGCCCCACCTTTGGGCTTTCTTTCGAGAGTATCGGGGGACTAGAGGAGCCTTCCTTGTGAGAGGCAAGAGAAAGGTCTGGGGGGTCCCGGGTGGTGACAGCAAGGCAGAGGTAGGGATGAGTGGAATCCCCTAGCACTGTCCAGCAGACAAGGGCACAGTCACTTGTCAAGCAGGGCCTTTTTTGGGCAGAGAGTGGGGCCATAGAGAGAGATAGTGACACTGTGTGTGTGTGTATGTGTTTTGCATCATCTCCTACATCTGTATGTATAGCATCTGTTAAAAATGCAGCTGTCTGTCTGTGTTAGATTTTTGAGTGGGACAGGCCAGTTCAAAGGCATTACTTGGGTTCTAAGCCTTGTGAGTGGCAGGGCTCACTGCCGCAGGCAAGTCCACTGTCCTCACCTCAGGATACCCGACGTGGCTCTCACTTTCAGGAGAACAAACCCTTGTGCACCATGCAGACTGAACTGGAGAAAGCTTTGAACAATATTATTACTGTCTACCACAAGTACTCCCTGGAGAAAGGGAACCACCATGCCGTCTACAAGGACGACCTGAAGAAACTACTGACGACTGAGTGTCCTCAATACACAAAGGTGAGGAGGGGTTTGGTGTGGATGGGGTTGGTTCTCCACCTGGCTCTGATGATGCCCAGGATCACTGGTCTCCTGTGTTGTCCTCTGTAGACAGCCATACCTCAACTTTTTTGAGACCTTTAAGCTCTGGCTTTCTCCCCTTTCACACTTCACAGAAAAAGACTGCAGATGAGTGGTTCAAACAGTTGGATGTCAATGAAGATGGTGCAATTAACTTTCAGGAGTTCCTCGTACTTGTGGTAAAAGTGGCACTGAGAGCTCACGAAGAGAGCCACAAACACTAGCAGAGCTGTTGGGCCCGTACATTTGTTCCCGCAAATTAATAAAGTTATCAATACCTCAGGCCTCTCTTAGTCTCTGTGTTTTTTTCCTTGTGGAATGAGGTTCCTGGGAAGAAGGAAAGGTTGGAAAACTCCTTTGGGGAAAGAAGGAACCAGTGTCATCCTCACCCTCAGCACTTGTACGCCTTCAGTGCTTCACTGCATGCTTCCCAAACCGTTCTGAGCCTCTTCCAACCCCACGGTCCTGAGCCATCGGTAATAGGACTTCAGGAGTTTTAAAGACCGAGGACTAGTGCTGCTATTTATTGGTTCCCAGATATGTAACCTAGAACTCATTCAGGGTGTTATTAGAAAAATTGATACCATTCTCTAAGCTACATTTTAGTTTCTAGCTAAAAGCTATAGATGTAGCTCTTGGGAAATTAGGGAGATAACTACACAGGAGTGAGGGGTTGTTGTGGGGGGGGCACAGAGGGAGACAGAGACAAAGACAGAGACAGAGATGGAGACAGAGACAGAGCCAACAAGCTGATTCTCTGTGTGGTATGACTGCATGTGGGTGAATGTTTAGAGTCTTACTTTAAGCAAACTAGTGATATTACTGCGTGGGGCAAAATGGTCCAGGTTCTTGTTACAACAAGGAAAGAATTGCCAACCATACACCGTGTAGTACGTAGTTACATTTGTTAAAAATCACAGGGCAACCACAGGAACCAGGAGAAGGGCTAACTGGGCAAAAAAGGCATTATAACTCAGGCTTCTGATATTTATAGGGTCAGACATACATTGATTCTAGGTGCCACCCCTTGACTCTCTTTTCTGATATGGCAATCTGTGTGGCCCCCTAAATTTAAGTCTGAAGAATCAATGCAGCAGTCTTGTGTTGAATGGAGAGAAAGGAGGTGGCCCACACAACTTCCCTGTTTTAGGATTACGGAAACATGGACAGCTGTTAGGGGTGGTGTAATGTTTACAGTTGAACAAAGGGAAGGGAGTGACTCAGCTCCTTTGTTTCTGATGTACTGTAATTTGACTTTAGGGATTTTGGAAGTTTCCCTCTCTTTGCACTCCTAGCCTTCCATCTAGGTTAAGGGATACAGGAATGGGAAGAGAGGCCAATACATTAATAAAATGCAGCTCAAAGAATAGCTTATTCAAATGTTACCCTGTGGGATTCTATGCTCTGGTGATCTATGAATTATCTGAAGTAACTTCCCAATCATTACATGTGTGGATTTATCCAAGGGCCTGGTAAAATGATAAAGCCCAAGGGGAAGGGGTACCTTTCAATAGAGCTGAACCCCTAGAATAGATTTCCAAGCTGTGGTCTGGGGAGTTTGGTATTGCCCTCCTTTAGGTGCAGAGCGGTGGTGTAAGTACTAGAGAAGACAAGGACCTGCCACCTGAATCACTAGGTCAGAGTCCTTAACTTGGCCAGGGAGAATGGCCATCATCGAGAAATCAAATAATAAAGCCAGGGGCTGGGGATTTAGCTCAGCGGCACAGCACCTGCCTGGCAAGCGCAAGGTCGTGAGTTCGATTCCCGGTACCAGAAAAAAAACAAAAACAAAACAAAACAAAAATAATAAAGCTGGAGAGGCTTTTGAAGGAAAGGAACCACTCTGCATTGTCGGTGGAAATGTAAACTAGTACAGTCATTGTGGAAATCAGTGTGGAGATTCCTCAAAAATTAAAACTAGAAATTCCATTTGACCCAACTGTTCTCTTTCTAGCTATCTTCCCAAAACAGTTAAAGACAGGATATTACAGAGATACATGTGTCTACATGTTTATAGCAGCACAATTAATAATATTTAAATCTTGGGAGCAGCCTATATATACATCAATAGATTAACGGATAAAGAAAATGTGGTATTTACACACAATAAGTACAATTCTGCCATAAAAAAGGATAACTTGAGCCATTTGTAGGAAAATGGATGCACCTGTGACCATAATGTTACATGAAGTAAATCAAACCCACAAGCTGAAATATTACATGGCTTCTTTTATTTGAGAAACCCAACAATATGAACAAAGAGCAAGATGAAAGGTAGATAATAGGAAATTGGGAGATAGAGATCTTTTCCAAATGGGAAGGAGATCAGCAGAAGGAGGGAAGGAGGAGGTGGGGGGAACGAAAAATATTTATGTATATTAATAATCCTTGTGTTATGTATATTTACCAACTCCCCACGAGGAATGTAATTATTATGTCCTGCAAACATGTACTACCAAAAAAGTTAAAACTGAAAAATAAAAATGTGGTCAGTCCATACATCTGTGTAATTGAATTGAAGGTGAATCAACAGCATTCTGAGAGTAGGCACTGAGGGTCATTCTTCCATGGCTTTCTTGAAAGAATCCAAAGACCCCAAAAAGGTTAACAGTGCTGGTCCTAAAGAGTTAACTAAAGAGTTTTTAGCAGTGAAAGGTGGAATATTGCTAGGGTTGCTGTATTTCAGGTGAGAGTTTGAACTCTGTGGGGTTGTCTGTTGCCAAGGGCTAGATCAGTTCCTATGCTGCAACCCATAGCCCTCATAACCATTATGCTCTGAGAGCATGGGGGGCCCTGTGCCCTGGGAGAGAAAGGCTGCCTTGAGTTCCTTGTGCTGTGCCTTAGATCCTTGGAGCCTGAGATAAAGAAAGGAATCCAATTCTGAGACCTGGAGAGCACAGTTCTTTAGAGAAGCCAGGCATGCTTCATGCACAAGAAAGAAGAGGAGAGGAGACGAGACGAGAGGAGATGAGAGGAGAGGAGAGGAGGAGAGAAGGGGGCCAGTTCCCCAGGATTTCAGGAGGTACAACCCCTCCCTAGCATTAACAAAACACCACTTGGATTAACTGGCCTCCAACAAGATGACTCACTGGGCTCTTTGTTGGCACTAGACTTTAATTACATTAAAATGCAAATGAGTAAGGTAACTCAGTAACTTATGCTTTTATTCCCTGGAACCTCAATTACCAGTCAGTTTTAGTATCAGCAACACATTAATAAAAATGGGTGGCAGTGAGCTAAGTGTCACGATTGAGACCTAAACCGGTATGGGAATCTAGTTACTGAATATAGAAGGCCCAGAGAGTAAATTGATTCTTTCTCAGTTCTGCTGAAGTATACATCTTCCTCCATCTCTCAAAGCTAAGGTTTCCACCTAAGTCAGAAGCATGAGACATACTCTGCCATGCAGAAACAAGGATTATGCAGTTGTCTGAGGCACCATAATGATCTTGTTATTTTCTCTAATACATAGTCCAAGTTGAGTAGGGGGCCCAAATTTTGCCCAGGCAAAACAAGATGGGAAGCAGTGCAGATCCACCAGCCCACATCCCATGTCTCACTCAACAGGGAGGGGTAGTAATGGGAAGACAACTCAAGAACACTCCCACACTGGTGGTGGTGGTGGTGCTGCTGCTGAAGGTGACAGTGGTAAGAGTGTGTGTGTTTGCCAGGGCTGGGTTAAGAGGCAACATTTCCCAGTGACTTTGACTCCTCTTAAAATTCGCTATTGGACTTGCTGTTGACGGATTCTATGGGGGAGATTTATTATAGTGTTTGCCTCTAGTTGAAAAGCTAATGAGTCTGCTTTCTCTGAGCCCACCCAGAGGGCCCTGTGGAGTTTCACCACAAGTGATGTGGCTTATGAATTGGATCCACACTGAGCCAGTAACTGTTTATTCTTGAACTCATGCTTACCTGGGGAGGTAGCCAGGTCGTCTGAGGGTGTGGATGAAGAGGAGGTGAGCAGCATAGTTCTTAAAAGCTTCATAGAGGAGGCTTAAAGAAGATCATTTGCACACACAACTGTGCCCATTACCTGGAAGCACTGGGCAGATCCAGATAAGGATTGTGACCTAGAGTGAGGTGATTTTGTTTCCTGTTTCTCTGAGTACAAAAGAAGAACAAGGCAATGGGAAGTTGGGAAATAAGTAGTTTGACAGGAAACCTCATGTAACATTTTGAACCCACAAAGGATCCCTTGGCTCACCAGTTGAGGCAGATCCGGCCACAGATTTTCAGAGCCTCTAAAGATGACCTTGACTGAAATCTTGTTTCAGTTCTTCACCCATGGCGCTCAACTTCAGCAGAGTTCCTAGTGGTCGTGACAAAACTCCAAAAAGACATGGAGAGGATCTAGAACTGCACAATGGGTTTCCTGCATTTGAGCAAAAGAGTTTATTCCAACGGAAAGTCTTCCCTGTACAACAAGTTATCAGGAACCCAGCTACTCAGATCCCTGTCCTAACTCTAATCGTAACCCTCCTGACTGGGGGAACTCAGAATACATTCAGATAGGCTGATGAAGGGGAAAGAGAGCTCCTCTGCTTATTAGGCTCCAGCTCTGTGCCAGGGAGAATGCACAAAATAATTTCAAACCTTGAAAAAGACAAAATGGTGATTGCTTTTGTTATTATCTCCTGCCAGAGTTGGTGTGGGTAAATGTACTTCTTGCTACTTGCCATCATCTGACATTTGAGAAAAGTAGTTGGCAAAGTACATTCAATTAAAAACTGTGACAGATTAACTTTTGGCCAACTTGTAAACCCCAGCTGAACTGAATCAGGTTGGTTCTGGGTGTGGAAGGCCACCTGAGGATTGTTGCCAACAGCACAAAAGGAGAACTAGAGGCCTGAAGATGGTGAGCTCTTGATCCTCCTGGAGAAGCTTCTCATGCTGGTTTTCCTGATGTGAACTCAGCTGTTCTCATCACTGGAGGAGCTCAGGTCCTCACTGTCACTGAGAATGGCTGTTGTTCTTCTGTTCCGGGGAACTCTGGTCCTTACCTTGAGCATTGCTTCCTGGCTCCAGTGCATATCTCTCAGCCTGGTAGCACAGATCCTGCATCGTGCTGTGAAGTTCGAGCTTCTAGCACTGATCCTTGGGCCTTCCCAGGGCAGATCCTTGATGCAGACTTACATGAGACATTGTCGTGGGCTGTAAGTCTTCAGCTGGACTCACGCAGGACATTGCTGTGGGATCCAGGTCATCAGCTGGATTCTCTGGGTCTTTAGTGCACAGACAGCTCTCCTGAACTCTTCTGCATTTGCTTTTTTGGGTGAACATC